GGAAGAGTATCTCGTAAATATTTTTAGAGTAAATATACATGTAAGACAGGGTGTTAAAATAGGAATTTACAGGGGGGCATTATCTATCATCCACACAGGGGAAATAACATAGGTATACATGTACATATGTGAAGTCATGATTTGATATTCAATTTATTTGAGAAGCGTGTAAATTTAAATTCTAAAATATCCTCAAGGACAAGTCGTTAGTCTTTCTGTTCAATTTAAAACGTAAGTTTGTTACATATTCGATACTTGATGGAATTCACATGTATTTGATCGGATTAGACTAGAAAATTACATGAACCAAGGAATTTTGAGTTCCGATGTCGAAGAAATAAAGTTGTTTCATATTACAAGTATAATAAATATAGACAGGGTGTAAAAATAGGATAGGAACTATTATAGCCAAAATTGTCAGCTCTTTATCTAATATGCCTTGCAACTAGTAAATCCCACGCAGGAAAATAACTTACATGAACACAACATTCATGTATCTAAAATTCATTAACCCTTTCACTGCCCAGGCCGTTTCAAAAAAGTTAGTTGTAAATTGCCAAGGTCTTTTTTGTTGGAGGGGGGGGGGGATTCTGTAAAAGATAAAATAAAAGAATTTTACAACTCTTATCTTCTTCCCTCCTGCACAAAATGGTATTTTGTACTTTGGGTAAATAGATGGAAGTGTCTCCTGATGTACCGTTCCTCCTCTTAATAAACTCTGCAATTAATTTCTGTTGGTTGGACACTTCCTGGTTCCTGTTGTATGACCAGGATCATTTCAACCCAGATAACTCACAATATGAATTAGGTTGTACATGTACAATCATGGCAATTTACGACTAATAAAAATCATACATGTACGAGATTCTCTTGGCAGTCTTTGTTGCCTGACATGTCTCTTGATACACATGTTATTGATACACATACACGTTCGTTTTATTTTTTAAATTGCTTTATCATTAACTGTATCATTAGGAGCGGCATCTTTTGGTTTAGTACAAATAATATCTCTGAAATACTTGCGTTGGGCAAGAACATGATACTAGCTGTAGTTTCATTATACTTTTACAAGGTTCTTAAAACAATTGTTGAGTTGCCCAACGTGCGTGTTTCTAAATTCAATTTATTGTTCCAGCTTTCTGTTATGTGTCGTAAAAAAGTAGTCTTGATTATCCCGGCTTGTTAATCCAACGTAGAATGGTCGGTAGACTGGTTAATTGAGACTACTTTCAAAACAATGGCACGTAACCTATTTTTTACTCACATGTGCTCGGATGTTATGGCCGACACTCGGAACCATCTTTCAGTGTATTATTTATGGATGATTAAATGGTCATAGCTTATTAAGTACAACATGACCGTTTATTTAGTGACTATAAATGTTTGAAACTGATTTAAGGCTTGGTGTATATATAGATATTGTGGTGTAATTGTCGAGATATTTATTTATGGTGGGGCACCCTATGTATAGGCCCCTTGTTTGAACTTGACTCTTGTAGAAAACCATCGAATCACTTTGTTCAAACATTCTTTGTACAAGACGACACAGACACTTTATTGCGCAATATGTGGGAACTTGATACATCGGGAGTTGCCGATCGACCTCGACCTGGAGTGCCACCTGTAACAACCGCTGCTCAAGATCGCCACATCCGACTACAGCATCTGCTACTGCCAGCGGAACTGTTGGAACACGCAGTGGCGGATTAAGCTCCACCAAAGCCTGAGGCGGCAGTTGCTGGAGGGCCTATTTAGTTTTTAAAGTTAGAGCCAAGGTAGTTGCTAACATTAAAAACGGGATTCGTTACTGAGGTTATAATATTATTAAAATATTAGTTATAACTATTGAAATTTGTCGTACAAAATGCTTTGACAGCAGAAACTTCATCGGAAACCAACTGTACATACACCTATTTTCAAGGATAATATTTCCTCATGATGGGGTGTTTACATCGAAACTAGCGCAAGATCTTTTGCTAGATATTTTTTCTTAAGCCAAAGTCGTTTGATATTGGTTATGTAACTTTATATGCCCATAAATGACGTCACGTGGATACAATATATTAAGCAAGACATAACCGAAAACTTACAAGGATTTAACGTACATTGTAGGCCTACGTTTAAAAAATAAGATCAGATCTCCAAACAATAGGGCCTATTTAAAATGGCGTGGGCCTAGTTAATTTCGGGTGAGGGCCTATGTTGATTCCCGTTGGGCCTAAACCCCACCCCCTAACATTCATTGTCTATGCGTTTTTAATCGTATCAGACAAGTCTAAAAAAAATTTTTTTTACAAAATCTTTGGGCCTGAGGCTGCAGCCTCATCAGCCTCACTGATAATCCGCTACTGGGAACACGGCAACGCCAGATCAGCCCTCAAACAGTCACAGTCCGAAAGCGCCTAATTGCTCTTGGGTTACACTTACACTGCCGTCGACCTTACCAGGGTCAAATCCTTTTGCATCGTCATCTACTTGCCAGACAGCAATGGGCCGCAAATCAGGGGTATCTGCACAACACACCATGCCGAAATGTTATCTTCTCGGATGAATCCCGATTCAACCTCAGTTTTCCTGATGGACGTCACCGTATCTACCGACGTCGACATGAACGCTTTGCTCGTAACCCGATGGAACACCTTTGGGATGAACTTGGACGACGGGTTCGAACTCAAGCCGTGCCACCATGAACTGTTGCAGAGTTGGCACAGGCACTCCAAAATCATTGGCAAACAATCCCACAGCGTGTAGTGAGGCATCTGTGCCATGGTTCCCTGACGTTTCGGTTTTGTGCATTTGTAGTGAATTCTTTCATGAAATTATCCACAGATGCTTGTTATCTCGATTTTGTCAATTGCTATGTACATTTGTTAAAAGTTGTTGCAGTAAATAAACTTTGAATTTGGCATTGCATTTTTAATGGCTCTGAGTGTCAAATATTTTAGCCAGGTGTGCCGCTATTTTTCATGTGTTCCAAGGTGTGCTGTTGGCAAAAAAAGGTTGAGAATCACTGCGTTAGATACACACCCGCGCTTGTGCATTGAAAACCTCGTTCACCAAACTTGAATCCCCCTGTCTCAGTCGGTAACCGTTACTTATCCGACAGTCACATTATGGCCCCTGGTTGTACGAAAAATCGCTGTTTTAGCTTGTTCTCTGTTCATCTCTTGCAAAATCTGCCTGTATCTTGCATTTAAGCCGCTTGTTCTACGAAACGTCAACAGTCACATTATGGCCCCTGGTAGTACGAACAATCGCTGTTTTAGCTTGTTCTCTGACCATCTCTTGCAAAATGTGCCTGTATCTTGCATTTAATCCGCTTGTTCAGCGATACGCCAATAGAAGTTTATTTCAAGGACTACAAGAGAGAGAGAGAGAGAGAGGGAGGGCGGGAGAGAAAAGGGGTTTAACGTCCACTTGACACAAACTAGGTCATTTCGGGAGTAACACATGGTTCAATTTTATGTCAATAATTCGCATGCGCGTAGGGGTCTTTAGCAGTGGGGGGAAACCGGAGGACCCGGAGAAAACCCACGAGGTTGGACAGGCGACTCTACTCTTTGTCACGCACACCCGGGGAATGACAAAATGACAGGCTTTATGATACGGCGCGCACGTGCTAACAATTCGGCCATCCAACCCCCATCAAGGACTACAAAACCTATATATAGTTAGGATCAACATGAACATATTCACACTGGCCAAGTCAAAACTTCAGATGTTCACACAGCTAACGTAGTACTGTTGTATCCACACAGTGTACACTAATTGAAAGGTTTACCTATTATTGGTAGTTCTCACATTTCTCTGGTTGGTGATATTGTATTAGAGCGAATTTTTGTTAATTCTAAATATTTATTATTCTCAAAGTTTAACATGTCGTGCTAATCCACACAGGTCACTTAATTCAGTGAGCAATATTTTAATGGATCTTAATCCACCTTAGAGTTTATTTACCACTAAAGGACCTAAATCTCTATTCTTTGGCACCTACAAATGGACAGAAATGGGTCGCAACGCATATAATAATGTAATACGAATGTATATATAAACTGATTTACATTCAATCTTTTCTGTTTTTACTTCAATTTCTAATCAGTAAGGGAGACACGGTGTCCAAGTGGGTAAGACGCTGGCTCGCTAGCCTGGAGGTCGCGGGTTGGTCGAAAAAGTTCATCGGGATTTACGGCGTGGTTTCCCCTTGCCAGCGGTGTAGGACGAAGGCCCAGCAAGGACAGCTGTCTAGTCGTTCTGATGGGACGAAAACCCGAGGTCCCGTGTGTACATTGGTGTGCACGCAAAATATCCCTTGGCAGTTAGAATTAGACATAAAAGTTGGCCATAGTGCCGCTGCCCGGGCAAAGTTTCCCTCATAGCACACTGTATGGCGTATGCCCGTTTTCATTAGCCCAGTGGGAGCAGAGCAGTAGGACGTTAAACCACATTTCATTTCATTTTTCTTTACTTGGATCTTGGGGGCATGCAATCAACACTGCCTTTCTTTTTGCGTGATTCTTTTGGGTTACGCACGGGAGCGACGCCATAGCCTTTAATACCGTTAAGTAATGTCAGAATTTCTCATTTGGTTGAATTAACATGTTCACCAAGTCGAGTGTGGTAATGTTGAAAAACTAAATAATGAACTTGTTAAGTTCTGTATGCGTTTTACTATCCCAAAGGTTCTGTGAAATCAACAAAAGGAATTCTCATGACCTGTTGTTTCATACATTTCCATATAGGGCGAATCGTTTCAAAAATATTGAATTGCGTTTGTAAATAATTCAAATCGTGATATCAACATAGTAGAGCTAATTTCACAGATGGTTACTTTCTTTGTTTTTACCAGATCTTATCTGATAATATTTTTTTTTTGGTATACAAATAGAAAATGACTTATATTTTTTTGGTATACAAATAGAAAATGACTTATATAAAGAATAATCTGCCAGTAAAAACTGTATCTTCAAATAGTTTAGATATAATGGCCATGTTGAAATTCGTCTTATTAACGACTATTGTCACCATATGCACAAGTAATCCGTTACTTCAAACAAAATGCCCTAAAAATATTTGTTTAGCTTTAATGTGTGTTCCTGATGACCCGGTATGTACAGGAGGTAAAATAGTACCTGGTGCTGGTTACTGTGGGTGCTGTGCAGCTTGTGTACGACCACAAGAAGATTCAAGTAAGATCTTATACATACATATACAGTTAAAGCCGCTGGTCGGTCATAGCTTTTTAAATTCAACATTTAGACAAAACAAAAGAAAGATATCATGGATTAAATCGGATAAAAAAGAGGCCCATCAAAAGATTTTACCCAATACGTATTACTGACGCTGACTTGGTTTTTTATCGTGAAACGATAGGGAACCTGTCTAAATGTCGTACAATGATATGATGTATATAGTTTTTCTGTAATATATACCAAAATATAATTTACACTTAGCTATACTCAAATTTTATGCTATGTCATATGATATATTATGACTATTAATCGTTTCTACATACATGGTTAATTCTATATATTATCACATCTAATGTTTTTAAAAAGATATGCGTAAGTACAAACAGTCGTGTTTAGCCATGTACACATTATGCAAGAGCTAAATCTGCATATTGCAGGTCTTTCTTTAGGCCTGAAATGTTATCTAAATTATTAATTAGACATTAATTAACTTATCCAGACCATAATCAACTCTCGATGTTATCGCTAGCCTGCGATATTTACTGGATTAAGATCCGATTTGCTGCTCAACTTTCATTCGTGATTTAATCATGAAATGGATAATCGAGACATTTATTTTTTTATCGTACCGACTTTAGTAATGATGATCGAGGCTAGGCCGAAAATACAATAGCTAAATTCTGAGTAGATCAATTTCACTGAAATTTTCAGCAAATTCCCTTTACGTTATCTAGTTGTTAACTGAGAACTGCCAGCTCTTTATCTAATCTCCCATAATGTATCTTTATCTAATCTCCCATAATGTATCTTTAGATGAAGCTTAATATTAATCTACTGATTGGGATTTAAGACTACGAAAACCATTCAAGTTATATATTTTATAAAATTTTAATACAACGGATCTAAAAGCGATGTCGATAAAAAAATAAAAACACATTTCGAGAAATCAAATTACTCTTGTGATTAACTGGCGGGGGGGGGGGGGTGGCCGAATGGTTAGCGCGTCCGCGTTGCATCGTAAGATCTGTCATTGAGTCAACTGGGATGGTTTTGAATCCCCGGTTGTACGTGACAATGGCCCTGCTTGATTTGTAAATACCGGCGCATACCGGCTGACCACAGTTCGGCAGTTTTTGCGCGAGGTCACTTGATTTCACCGGAAGTCGACAAAAGTTCGGCTGCGGCGTACGCCGAATGCCCGGCTTTGGCGGCAGCGGCGAACACCGGCGCAAGATGGTAAACATGTCAACGAGATAAAATCCACGTTATTTGCGAATGCCATAAAACACTAATTTTAAAGCGTTAAAATTAAACCAAATGTTTTGAAGTTGAATTTGAGCTTCGTAAATCCAGAAGTTCATATATCATTTATTTTTTCTCAGTAATACTAATAATAATTTTCTGCTTATTTTGCGGGCACTTTCAAGTCATACTTTCAAGAATACTGTTTTTGATTAAAACATGTCATGTAACCGGTTTAATATAATAACATTACCCGACGCCATATTGTTTATCAGCCGGGTCACTTGATTTGCTTCGATACGGTAACCTGACCGGCGTACGCCGTAGTAGAAACCGGTTCACCAATCGGCAGACAAATCAAGCAGGCCCAAAGTAGGATCGACTGTCCAACCTTGTGGGTTTCCTCCGGGCCCTCCGGTTTTCTCCCACTGCAAAAGACCCCTAACCCTACCATATTTTAGTCCCGAAATGACCTAGTTTGCGTCGAGTTAAACCCCATTTCTCCCTCTCTTTTAAAGGGTGCCGAATGTTAAGAAATTTTCCGTTCTTAAGGTTTGTAAATATTGAACGGAATTGAACAATTTTTGGACTGATAATCGTTTTGGAAATTCGATGCTAGGAATAGTAGAATAGTATATACTTTACAAGCGACCAAAACCTCTCTCAGAAATGACGAACAGCTGCTTCAAAAACATAAATCCCATGACCGAATCCGATTCATTTAAAATTGTGGCCTCTCGTAAAATAACGCGAAAACAAGCAGCGGGTGTTACCATTGAACTTTCCCCATCTTACTTGTACGATTTCTTATTACTTCTCGTTTAAATAACATCTGTAAAAGAAAATCTAGCAAACTCGGGTAAATGTCCAGAGTTCCATTTCTTGAATAATCACTGTATAAGTATTCAGACTTAATCAGCCCTTGCTTAATTGATCAGTCTAATGACATATACGTGTCCACAAAATGAACTCAAATTAATAATGTGCAAGGAGCACTTTTTGCAATACTTTTGGTGCTATTGAAAAATACAAAAACAAAACGCTCCTGTATATAGTATTAGGTGATTAGTAGTACCGTTTCAATTTATTTTTCGTGTTGATAGAAACTTTTGTAAATAAAGACAACTGCACAATTCACAGGCTTTTCTTTTAGATAAAAAAATAACTATTACTAACATCGTCAAAACTTATGACCTATATTTCCTGCATTCTACCGAACTGTATATTATATCCTTACTCAATCTTCGTGAATGTTACAGTCACTATACTCTGATCTTGTTAACAAAATAAATGTTTTTGGGTATGAGTGTACTAAAGATGCGAGTCTTTCCCACGCATTTGACCAAAAGCTGAAGGGGGGTTGGATGGTACGTGACTATAGGAGTAGGGTCGCCTGTCCAACCTCGTGGGTTTTCTCCGGGGCCTCCGCACTGTTAGAAATTTATGTAAAATTACAGTAGTACAAGTATTTTTGTACCGTAATTGTCGGTATATTTTCCACAATATAGTACATTTACCAAGTTTGGTGTATTTTGTAAATTTACATTTAGGTTAGAAATATAAGTAAAATTACAGCAGTTAAAGTATTTGTTTTTACCTTAAAATGTTCGGAATATTTACCAAAATGATGTATATTTACCAAGTTACAATAAAATTTGATGAAATCAAGGGCACATTAAAATCCTGTAAAAATACATGCTTACATATATATGTAATATTTCAATATTGATGTGAAAATAGCAAAGCCAGAAGGTAATTTTACAGATTTACGTTTATTCATATTATCTTGTAAATTTACTTATTGGTAGTTAGCGTAATCGGTAAATGTACTGTCTCTTATTTTATTTTAGTATTCAATAGCAACGAACCATTCCTAATAATAATTTTCTGATAGTATTCATTCCAGTTTATTAACCACTAGCAGAATGCCCGGCTTCGCTCGGGGGTCATAACCCCGAAATCGGAAGTGGTAGACTAACGCCACCTGGCCTATGTTACTCCCCGGTCCGAGCTACCCCTATACCCCAAATTTCAGACTCGGGGCAGACCTAGTGTAGCCGCCAACCCCGAACAGCCCGGGGGTCATAACCCGAAACCGGAAGTGGTATTCTAACGCCACCTGGCCTATGTTACTCCCCGGTCCGAGCTACCCCTATACCCCAAATTTCAGACTCCGGGCAGACCTAGTGTAGCCGCCAACCCCGAACAGACAGACAAACAGACAGACAGAAAAACGACAGTCACAAATATTAGTAAAGATAGATAGATAGATAGATAGATAGATAGATAAGATGGACAATCACATTTTGTGAAATTTGTTATATTGCATGTCATGTATATCTAATTTCCATTAGCTGGACTTTCTCTAAAGCAGAGTTTCAATGCCTGCAAGTAGACAGTACCGCAAGCTTACATCTAAAAGCCAGGAACCGCCGCAATCACTGACCAGCAACGGTTTCAACCTGTGTTACCTTTTGGCTGACAATTTGCTCTCGTCTACCAAACGGGATTAGTATAATGTTTTAGCGGAGTGTTAAATGCCTCTTATTCAGTTCAGATTTTATTTATCTTTCACTTTAAAATAATATGATAATTGTGAAATTGTTGTTTAACTAAACAAAAACGATAAACGGAAGTTACCGTCATTGTGTTTATTAACGTTTGTCTGTAATTTTTCATTTACTGCTTTTAGATAAATTTACATTTCGAAGTTAAAAGGCAAACTTGCTGTAATCATCCATTTACTGTTTTGTGGTGAATTTACAGTCCGGAGTTAAAAACCAAACTCATAGTTATTTTCCATTTACTGAAACTCTGTAACAATACAGCTAAATATTCATTTACAGAAAATTTACCAGATTTTTTCTAACAGTGCGCCCCTATCCATGGTCTCTGGATCCACCCGTGCTTGTGCCAATTTAAGTAAGATTGTGAATAAGTGATTATTTATAGAAAACTGATTTTCAGTTTTAAAATAGTGATTTGACAATACGCTGGGGTTTCTGGAACTGGAACTATATCCCAAGAAGTGCTACTCATCTTCTTGTTTTTCTTCTTGGGTGGTGACGTTTTTCGAAAAAAGCTCAAGGCTCCGCCAATCTAGTAAACTACCGACTAGAAACTTGGGATGCTTGTTCCGTTTACAAGTGCCCATCGGTGTATACATGTATTTGTGTTCACTTGACTAGATTCTATATAATATAGTCTACCAAATATAAAATATTTTAGAAAGAGTAATACAGGTCACAATTCTATGGAATACAATTACTAAATGCCATTGAAACAGTTTAGAAAGAGTAAGTATACCTTGTATACAGTACTTTATTTTATTATTCAATCATTACGTGTACCATGTCCTGCTGTGAATTGTCGAATTAGTAGAAAAGGGTGATTCTTGCGGATTAGTCTTTTTGATGGGTACATTAAGATGAATATGCGTAAAGTTGTGGAATTAACTCAGATAACACTAAATGATAAGCAGGTAATTTAGGAGTTCACCTTTTACTATAATTTTAAATTTGCTCTATTTAATAGTTACAGTTGTTATCAGATATATTAACATTACAGAAATAATCTGCTGTCTCCCTGCATACTAAAAATAAATGACCACTATATATATTTACAGATGTAGGTAAATGTGTAGAGAAGAATAATAATGGCTTACTTGGATCTCAAGAATTTAAATGTAATCCAGATGGATCATTTGCCCCTGTTCAGTGTAAAGGATCAGTGTACGTTTATTTCATTGTTTGCCTGTCCAATATTTATATAATATTATTCTTGCTTTAGAAGTTCTTGGTTTTTTTTGATGAGTTCACATAGCTAATACATTTTGTTCGCAACTATCAAACCATTCATAACTCTAGTAATATCCCTTTTCCTTAAAGATACATTATGTAAGATTTAGATAACGAGCTGACCATTCTTGCTGTAATAATTCAAAATAGACAATGTAAAATGAAAATTTCATTCAAATTTCATTCAAATTACTTCAATTTGAGCCACGTTATTACCGTTTGTAGTTTTGACAAGATGTGTGCATAGTGGTACCCGGGCACTTGTATATTCGAGACTTAGCCTCGCTTTTCCATTTTTAAATTAAATTTTTAAATGACAAACCGTTCTAATCTAGTTAAAATCTCATGTATCCGATGCCATCGAGAGTTGATTAGGGTCTTGTTTTTTTTTTTTAAACAATATTTTTATTCAGGTTGTCTGAATAGGATTGGGGAAACAGGCTAAGTCTATGTAGGGTCTCGTTGTGTTAACAAATGTCTAATTAATAATTTATATAACATTTCAAGCCTATAGAAAGATCTGCAATAGGCAGATTTAGCTCTTGCATAATGCATGTTTAACCCTAGTAATATCCCGTACTCTTCACTCTAGTAATATCCTGTACTCTTCACTCTAGTAATATCTTGCACTCTTCACCCCAGTAAAATAACCCGTACTCTTAACCCTAGTAATATCCTGTTCTGATATATTAACAGATGTTACTGTGTTGATGATGAAGGAACTCAGTTACCAGGTTACAGCCAAACTATTGGCCAAACTGCTTCCATGGACTGTCGTAAGTTGATTCAAACTTTTCATTCTAATAGTTTTAGATGTTAATCATCAGTTTTCTGGTCATAATCAATGTTTATTGCCATTAAAAGCATTACGTGTACATGTATAATGGTACATACACGGTAAATATAGCCTGTTAATACAGGACACAGTTCTTAATAGTATATTTAAAAAAACTAGGTCGTATTTGTCACTACGAAGAACCCTTACGAATTTCAAAACTGTCCTTTCGTGTATATTTTGACTTTCTTTTCATAAAACTTGTAAACAAACCCACTTTCTTGGTGCCATTTTTAAAACTTGGTATATTATTTATTGATTTATATCAAAATTCACAATATTTAATTTGTAAATTTCTGAATTATCTGTTCGTTTATTTGAAATTTAAATACAAGTTTTTGGTAGGATTTGTATTATAAATTTGGTGTGATATTAAATAAATTTTTGTATTGGCTTATAGATGCATTATGTAAGAGCTATACAGATCGTTTTTTTTTTGCCAAAAATGTTATATGAATGATTAATTTGACATTTATGAACATGACAAGACCCTAATAAACTCTCTAGAACATCGGATGTTCGCGATTTTCAATGTTTTGAAACAAAGATCGTCAATTAATAATTTAATTAAAAATGGATAATCGAGACTTTGTTTACTATCGTGACAACGGAAGCAATGACAATCGAAACTCCGCTATTCTCCAACCAGCCATAACTTCACTCAGAATGAAGTAATTTGACCCTTTATCTATGTAAGCTCTTTATCTAAATCTTACATAATGCATCTTTAATATAATAAAATTATTATAACAGTCTGTACCAGAAATGATATTAGGAAAGTAATCTATTAAATATTATTATATTTACAGGTTGTGCTAGAGATGAAAATAACTATAGTAAAACAGGATTATTAGGAAAAATGTTTAATTGTCAAGATAATGGTAATTATTCACCCTATAAATGTCTGGGTTCTGTCTGTTTCTGTTCTGATGAAAATGGTTTGATAAAAGGATCAAAGATAATAAACATTGGCGAGTTATCTTCCCTTCAGTGTACACAATAAAATCTATGTTATAAAATCTGATCAGTCATGTTGCGTCTTCTTTCTTCCTGTGAAATGAAATGGGGTTTAACGCTCTGTTCCGACTAGGTTAATGAAGACGGGCATAGGCCATACAGTGTGAATTTAGGGGAACTTTGCCCAGGGCCATACCCCCTAGTCGTATATCGAATTCCAACTGCCAAGGGTTCTTTTATTTGTACGCCAGTGTATACGCCGGACCTCGGTTTTTCTCCCATCCGAACGACTATACGTTGTCAGAGTTAAAATCCTTAATACAAAATATCAATTCTTTTTAGTAGTATTAGTACGTTGACGTTACCACCTCTGGGACGTGCCAAGGCAAAGGAAATAGCAAAGTGTTCCGGAAAGAGTAGTCAAACTCTGCCTTTCATAGATATAATATATCTATGACATATGTCTCCAAAACTAAGAACGACCACCATTAACTCAAATATTGTGTCGTATGTAGGTTTAGGTCTGTTGATTATTTCCCGCTAATTGGTTTCCCAAGAATGTTTTTCGATGAAAATTCATTATTTTGAAGCGGAAGGATCAGGATAAGAAGAAGTCGCATCCTAAAATGACGCCACACCCTAATAATTCCTCTGACTTAATAATCGAGATGCCCCCCCCCCCCTTCAATATTTTGACGAAATTACTGTAGGACCCTGGTATACGTCAAGAAATGCAATGGATTTAACATTAAAGTCAATAGAAGGAGAATTACACATCCAAAGTAATCCTGTTTATTATAGACTAATGTCGACACCTTTTCCCTCAATTTTTTCATCCACCTTTCCCGGCTGTACGTGACACGGAGTAGTGTCGCCTGTCCAACCTCGTGGGTTTTTTCCGGGTCCTCCAGTTTCCTCCCAGTGCTGAAGACCTCTACTCGCAATCGAATTATTGAAATAAAATTGAACCATGTGTTAGTCCCGAAATGACTTATTTTGCATCGAGTGGACGTTAAACCTCATTTCTCTCTGTCCCCACCTTTCATGCATATTTTGGTAGGCTTTTTCGTCTAAAATTGGAGAAAAGGGATCGAATTTACAATTTTGGGGTGATATTGGTGATAGGGTTAGTTAAAAGATGTAAAGTATCTCTATTCATTGTGTCCGAGTAAAGAATTTGAACTTCACACCCCTTAAAAATTTTGACGAGAAGACTGCCAAATGTTTTTCACTGTGTGCATATTATACAGACTGTGATGTTATAGACCTTTTACACCGGGGTCAAAATGCAAATAATTGCTTGTGTGAGCCCTGACAGTATCGTAAGAGTTGCTCCCCTTTATTCAACTATTAACGTTTTGGATTGACTGAATACACCGGACTTGGCAAACAATAGAGACCTGAATATCCAAAACTCTCGATTTGAGACCCCAATTTTGGTCCTCTCCCGATGAAACCGAGGTAAACAATAGATTTTGTCTACACATTCCAGCTGCTTGTCATGTTTGTTTTCTTGATGTTTTTTTTAGCATTAAAGCTTGAGATATTTGACTTGAACGTGAAGTGGACATCCATTCGAATAAAAATTAAGCGGTCAGACTTTGCACTGTAGGGGGCATATAGCCACGAAAGCACCTTAAAGTTTCATTTCGGCAACAGTTGGCAAGCTTAAAATAATCTGACAATCCAGGATGTTACGGTCCAACATGCGTCAGTATCAACAGGAATCAAGATCCTTGGTATGTAAACATACATTTTAAGTTTGATCAAAATCGCATAAATATTGTGACCTCTAGAGTGTCAACAAGCTAATGACACGATTTTTCGTACAATTCATGGGCATAATCCCAGGGGCGGATCCAGGAATTTTTGCAGGAGGGGGTTTGCCATGTTCCTGTTAAGGAAATCTGTCATCATCGTCTCTAAATTACATAGGCATACATACAAATTGAGCTTTTTAAAGAGAGAAATCATTTTTGTAATAATGTAGAAACACATTGTGATTTAATTTCATTGATGCAAGGCCTTCAATTTTTTTTATGTACCTGAGCAGGGTGGGGTTTGGACCCCCACCCCCTCTGGATCCGCCCCTGAATCCAGGAGGTTACGGTCCGATACAACATGTCTATATCTAAAGAAACCGAGATCTTTGGGTGATAAACCCATGTTTCAAGTTTCGTCAAAACCTGATAAGCTTTACAGTCATCAAATAACTGTATCACAAATAAAGTTATTTAAGCTTAAAAAAAACCTAAGAGTAAATAAGTGGGCTTTCAAAGAATAAATCTTAATTTCAAAACAGTCAGCGTACATGTAACAGAATTTGAATGACAAATTGATTAATAGTTTTTATTTTACTGGTTAATGACGTCTATAGCCGTGTACAATATGTTTACTGCCAATTAAAACAAAGCCAGCCGTTCAAAAATTCATCTGATTGTCAACTAGTTGAGAACGTTCTCACATTTGCCGAATACTTACCATTCTGACTTAATGGGTTTCTTCCTTGTTTTTCTCATTAAAATACTAACATCGGCCTTCAGTAATTTTTTATGTCGTTTTGACTATTTAACTTTTTATGATTTGTTAGCGTCTGTGTAACTGTGCACCACAATTTAAGAAATTCGCACACGCCCCTAAATTATTGTATTCTTTCTTTTTAGTCTTCGGTTCTCAAAGTATCGTGCAGGATATTCTCATGTTAGGTACATGTAAGCATAGACTGTTTTTAAGCAAGATAAAGTCATCGACTTCGGTTATGCTTGGGAAGAAAGACTTCAGAAAAAACGCTCGAAAGAAAAACCCCAGTCTCGTGCTTTATCCAACACATAGTGACTTTATAGTGTATTGAAACAAACATGTATCACAGTCTTTAAACTTGGGTCGACGCGCGTATCCAGCAGATATATTAATTATTAGCTCAGGGGGTGTGGCGCAGTGACTGGCTAACCAGGGGATCTCGGGTCGGGTTCATGTAGGGTGATTGCATAGAATTCCGGCGAGTTTTCCTTGTGTCAGTTGTCATTGGTGGAGGGCGGAGGACCTAGTAAGGAACGATGTCTAGTCGTTCTGGGGTCCCGTGTACACATTTGCGTGCACGTAAAACAACCTTTAACAGTTGGAATTCGAAATAATAGTAGGCCATAGTGCCGCTGTCCTGGCAAAATTTCTCTCATACACACTGCACGGCGGATACCCTTCTTCATCAACCCAGGCAATCCAGAAAAGCAGGGCTTCAAACCCCATTTCATTTCATATTAGCAACCTAGTCTATGGTAAATATTAGTATTTCTTGATAAGTTTGACCAGTTTCTGTCTTTGTGTATAAAATGGACCCCGTGTCATGTGGTTAAAAGAATCAGAACAACCATAATAATCAAGATTTTATTTTACAATTTAACAAGGATATTCCGTCAGCTCAAATGTTATTTGTCCCGTTCCCGGTCAATTTTTAATGTGAACATATAGTGTTGTTACTGTTTCAATTTGTTCTGTTTTATTGCCCGTGGTGTGGAAATACGATAGCTCGACATTTAAAAATATTTAATTAAATTAACTCTTGTTTTAGATTCAAATATTGGCTTTTACGAAAAAAAAAATAATAATACATCTGGCATGTCTGTTTTCGCCAGTATCAACTTCTAAAACCTCCACGGCAGTCGCCTTTTTTTATTTTTTTATTTATTTATTTTTTTTACTTTCTAGAAATTATGTTTGAAAATATCGCAACAAAATAACGATAAACAAACAAAAATAACTACATGTGCCTTCGCACGTAAATTTGGATATTTCTTGACTTTGATCAAATTAGACGTGTGTTATCAAGGTTGTTTCCTGCGTGAAAAGTTTTCTGTACCGTGACAGGTGGAGAGTGTATCAATACGTCCGATAACTCTCCAATCCCACTTCCGCCTGATCGGCTTTGACGTCAGTGCGTGGCCTTACAGTATGTCATGATGTGTTGTTTATTGATGTAAGATGAACGATGAGAAGTTCGGTAAACAACTAGATGTACTATAAAGCTGTTTATCAATGTTTAGTACTTGTCAAAAGGTAAAAGAAAAGAAATCGTGTTTTAGTGGTGGTTCCAGCTAATTTAGGGGAGTATTGTATGTCTATTCTAGAGATCTAAGATATACAATGTAAGACGTATATAGCATAGAAGGTAACAATAAGGAGATAAATCATAGATTAAATCTTAATTAGCTTGGTAAAATAGAAACATAAATGACACCTGATACCCTTTAGTGTCATCTCTAATAATACAGTTCTATAAACCAAAATCAAAATGCTTCTACTGTTAGACGTCTACAATCGTTGATTCTACACACAGAAACCTGAAAGTTTTCGAGGAACGTCCTTGTTAAAGCTGGACGATTACGGTTGTTCTAATTCTTTTTAGACCCCTCGGGGCCTTTAGTTTATATTTCAGTTGATCGCTAAAGTTGAGAAACTATGATTGGGCTGTGTATTTCCTCGACTTTTATGAAAGAAATATTGTTAAAATCAGGGATATGGGTATTGCACTGATGAATTTTCAGGGGGAAAAGACAACCTAAGGAAATATAAACTGTCCGCCTCCCTACCCCAATCAAACTAGCAATGATTAAAATACAGTTTCAAATGTATTGAAATTGTTTGTAGAGGGCACCCAGCTAGGCCGCATTGTTATTTACATTTTGTGAAATTTGAAAGGTTTAGACGAGTTTTAACAGTTTAAAACCTGTACCAAGTTCTACACAAGTAGGCCTATCCCATGCAGTTCTCTGTGGAATAATAACTTAAATAGTTTGGATTATGCATTTGTTGCCAGCTTTACTGAAAATAATACTGTTTGAGAGACATTCAGCTCACTATTGACCTAAATTTAATCAACCTTTAAGTGATTATATTTTTAGTAGCCAAATCATGTGTTTGTATAATCCTAGAGTACGAGGTGTTAGCGGTGGCAGATTTAAACAAAGAGTAATCACTTCCCAGTCTAAATATCAGCCTTCTAAAAAGAGGAGAGGTGTTAATAAAGATAATTTAGTGAACTTCTCCCTTCAGAACTTTGAAACTGACCCA